TTCAAGTCCATTGTTCTTCGCGTTGTTCATAGCCTCGTTGAAGCAGTGTTCGAATATTCCAGATAATAAGGCCTCAGGGTCGGCCGGAATATTCTGAATAAGGAATTTCGAATAATTTTTGGTGATTTTGAATTTATCGATGAATTTTGTCGTATTTTCTAGTTGTTCAATATATTGTTGTAAATCAGTGCCTCCTCCTGATTGATTAATAGAGAGGAGGTTATCAATAAAGAACGCTCTTGCGCGTTTTGTTGGAGGAATATAGTCCATTATTGAAAAAAGAGCTCCTATATGAAAAGAGCTCCTATAAGAAAAGAGCAAAATTTTATGGGGAGCAAAGAGAGCTCCTATTGAAAATAAAGAAAAATGAGGAGCAAATTGAATTAATAATTAAAAATAGCAATTTAAATTATTTAGACTTTTTAAAAATGAAGCGAATGAGAAATAAATCTTGTTTTTATATGAAAGTTTTTGCCAAAACTTTTAGGATTAAATTATTGTGAAATACATATAGGCGGCATCATCAAAGAGGTTTCGATTGTGAAATCTAGGCAAAACAAAAGTTTTAATTTGCATAAATTTAAATGTCGGCAACATCAAAGAGAAAATAAAAATTTTAATTTTTAAAATATAGGCGGCATCTTCAAAGTGATTGTTTAATTTGCATAAATTTAAAATCTCGGCAACATCAAAGAGAAAATAAAAATTTTAATTTTTAAAATATAGGCGGCATCTTCAAAGTGGTTGTTTAATTTGCATAAATTTAAAATCTCGGCAACATCAAAGAGAAAATTTTAAAAAATTTTGAAATTTAATAAAGGATTAAGGTCAAATTTTAATTAGGTCAAGGTCAATTATATTTCTGAAAACTCTGTTTAAAAACAAATGTCAAATTTTGGGGAGGAAAGGAAACTAGGGATTGGGGATTGAAAATAAAGAATTTTAATTTTTATAAATTATCAGCTATCACTTTAATTAACGTAATCACTAACAAATCATCATTAAATATACAAAATATAATAATCACCGCGAACTGTATGGTAATCACTTTACGTAACATCTAGAGTAATCACTTGACTCAGTAACATCTAGGGTAATCAGGTGATAATTGGTACATGTTTACAAAGGTGTAATCTAGTAACGTACATGGATCATCACCCTCAACAGTGAAGGATTGAAATTACTCATTCTCCACCGATTAATCACTCACCCGTTTGGTTTAACATAATTTTATTGCCACCCGGATGTTTTACAAATTACACACTCTCAATGATTTTTCTCACTCCTCGTTTTGGGTGAACACTTCTCTCTATTTTACCAATCCTCCCTCGCGACAGTGCCTACTCCCTTTGATCTTTGCCGACCCCTCTCCCATTTGTCGGACCCCTCCTCCCCCACGACAGTGTCCACTCCTCTTTGATCTTTGCCGCGACATGCCCTCTCCCTTTTGGTTTTGTCGGACCCCTCCTCCCCCACGACAGTGTCCACTCCTCTTTGATCTTTGCCGCGGCATGCTCTCTCCCTTTTGGTTTTGTCGGACCCCTCCACCACTTGACGGGGATTAGCTTAGTGACAGCCACGACGGTGACCGGTGACTAACTACTAAAATATTTTAGAAATTTAGTCAATAACCCTCAATAATGGCAGAAGTTCTAGCTGTTGAAGCCCCCACACACGGACAATAATATTCACATTGAAGATTAGATTGTGCCATAACAACATGCTGGCATTGAGTTAATACACTAAATTGCCATCCAAAAATTGCTAATTGGGCTAGGGCATAAATCTTTAAACAAAGGAGTGATTTTGAAGAAATTGAAGGAAAAGTAAAAATTAAACTGGTGGAAAGATTTTTAAAAATAATTAGTTAAACAAATTAAAAAACAATTAAAGGACTATTTTGACAATACTTGTTCAGACAAAATATTTATTTTCGATTTAGAAAAAAGTATTGATGAAATTAAAAATTTCTAAGTGTCCCAAATATTCATAAAATTTAATAGGAAAAATCAGCTAACCGTTGACCAAATTCCAATTGTAACCACAGCATCTTTTAAGCTTAAACAACAACAAGGGTTGCAAGCCATTGCTTTTCCCCCTTTTTGGCTTATTTTGAATAAATTAAAATATAAATTAAATAATTTACATCTGATTTTGAATTTGATAGGGAATATAATAAATTAAATAAAAATTTGTATAGTCCGATACAAATTTTTAAATGTTAAAAGGAGTATTCAGAGGTTTTTAATTTATTTATTAAAATTAAAAATTAATTTCAAAATTTAAATAAAAAAGGTAAAAAATAAAAAAAATTTGTTTGTTTATTCTTTGCTATGATTCATAAAGTCGGCTAGTTTTTTTTTGGAAATTCTAATTGATTTCTTAAAATAATATTCAAAATTTAAGGAAAAAATATTTAAAAAATATTAAAATTATTATCAAATAATTATTCTACGATAAATTGTTAAAAAACTTTTTAACAGAAATATATTCTTTCTAAAAATGCAAAGTGAGCTAAAATAAGAATGGTAACTAAAAACTGATAATGTTGAAAAATATTTTTGAAAGAAATTCTTAAATTTTTAACATCTCCATTATATTCCCGCGCAAGATTCAAAAATTTATAATAAAATTACTTTTATTTAGAAAATCGAAGAAGTTAAAATAAATATTAAAATTACATCATTTTAAAATAAACACGTAACTGTTAATTATAATAAACCGCACTTCTATTCTTAAATATCCTCGTATGTATTTAAAAATTTTTTTGTGGAAATTTACAACACTTTTTAACACAAAAATAATTAAAAGTATAAAAATTATCGCAACACCAATTATTATCAAATAATTATTTTTAATTAAAAAAAGGCAACTAATAAAACCAAAAAATTTGGGTTTAAAAAATTATTTAAAGATAATTTTTTATTTGCAATTGTTTAAAGAAAAAAGATTGAAAAATAATAAATGTTTAGTAAAAATACTACTCTCAAATTTCAGACAGCCGAAAAAGAGAGTGAGAGGAAAATCAAATAATAAAAATTTTGGGGGAAAAGAATGTGAGTCATTTCTCTCTCGGGACTTTGTGTGTAGGTAAAGCTTTAAAAGCAGTCCGGCTGTCCAAAATATTTTTCTAACAATTGTGTGTACTTATTTGTTTGTATAGAGTACATAAATATATTTATTTATTTGGATTTAATTTCGCGCAGAGTCAAGTGTTGACGGCTGTCAGAGTTTATTGAATTTTTAAATTTAGTGGACTTTAAATAATTTAAATAAAACTTTGGGTTCTAAAATTGGAGAAAAAAATTAATTATTAGACAGTTGGTTAAGGTGCTCTTAAAGCAAGTTTTCAAAATTTGCAATTTATGCATCACAACAATAGAAATTTCTCAATTTCCCGTAAAATATAAAAAAATTTTGAAAAATTCGTAATTTTTAATTTTTCTTTTTAGTATTTTCTAGTATGTATTATATAAAAATTAAAAAATATTTTGAAAAAAAAACTAAAATATTATTTATATAAAACAAAATTGTACGATGAAAAAATGCAAATAATTGAAAGTAAAAGAAAGGTCCGAGAATTATCGCTGCTCCAATCCCTACCGAAAAATGTGTACTATAAAGATTGTTTTTTTATTTTTTGGTTGTCAACTAAAAGAAAGATAAATTTGAAACGTAAATTAGCCTTCAATCAAGGACAGTTTTTTATTGTCATATAAATATAATACAAATATATTTGAATTAGTATACTTAATAAGAATAAAACAATTAAAACTCAACCGAAGCAGAAGTTGACTTAGTAATTTTGTTTTAATTGGATTTTGGAATTATGTATGAAGAATAACTGGAAAAAAACATTCTATTTTGAAGACCAATTTAAGCCATCTAAATGATACATATATTTAATAATTTTATTTATTGATACCATTACAAAATTTCTTAATTTTCTATTAAAAAATAACGTTACAACTGATAAGCAAATAAATTAATTATTAAAATTAATTGATTTGATATTTTTGAATTACATAATTTTTTAAATATTTTTCTAAAAATTAAAAAAAATTTACAAGGAAAATAATAGTATTATTTTCATTTTTTCCTTTACTAATTATTTTTAAGCCTCTTATTTTGCCAAAATAATTTTCCATTTAACGCATAATTTATGAATTTTCTTCCGCTCCCACTCACATATACAAAAAGCAACACAACTCAAAAAATAAGGATATTATTTTTGTTGAGATATATTTATTTATTTTCTTAAAAAAACAATTTTCTCTCACTTGAAAGCTTAAAGCTTTTTTGTTTGTTTTTTATTGGGTTATTATTTTTGTTATTGTCTGGTCTGAAAAATAATTGGCATTCTTTTTAAGATAATTTTGGTAGGAATACGTCATCTTCGGGTGTAGCAGACTTATAGGCTTTTAAGACGAAACGTGGTATCCAAGACTAGATTTTTCCGTTCTTGATCCCTTTATCAAAGCATTATCTCAAGCCTTATTCTTGAGAGGCAATCCTGCCTTTGGTCTTGAAAAATTTGGTCTTGGACATTTCTGTTATGAACCCTAGGTCAATTCTTCATGGTTAAGTATAACCTTCGACTGTATTTATTAAGTTTATTTACTGAATATTTCATAATCAGCTGATTATTTATTTAAGTTCGTCGTTGTTGAAGGTAATGGGTAAAAGTTGAAAGAGTTATTAAAAAAATTGATAAAAATATTTTTATATTTTCACTTAACACAAGATTAAAAATGTACTTGTTATCAGTTTAGGTAATTATTTATTTAGTACTATCAGGTTATTTGCATTTTTTTCTGCCCTATTTCTCCTATCCGAAAGGCGCAAATGTAAAAGCTTTTAACATAAGGCCAAAATATTTGGGAAATTTTTAATCGAAATTTCAAATAAACGGAACTGATTTTTTAAAATTATTTCATTTTTATTTTATATAAATCCAATAATATAATTATTTAAAATGCTAATACAATTTTTTCAAAGAAATGGATGTTGAGGCTTTTCGAAAAAATGGAAAGGAATTAATTGATATAGTAGCTGATTATTGGGAATCCTTGGATAACAATAAATGGGAAAAGCCATTACCTGATATCAAACCTGGCTTTTTGCAATCTTTAATACCCGAGGAGGCACCTGAAGAACCGGAAAGTTGGCAACAGATTTTTGCTGATATTGAACCTGTTGTTTTGAATGGAAACACACATTGGTAGATTACATAGACAACATTCCACAAAGCCCATTTAAATTAATTAACTCTGCAGGCATCATCCTAACTTCTTTGCTTATTTTTCCACTGCTTGTAGCTATGCAGGTGTCATGGGTGATATTCTTAGTACGGGAATTGCATCAATTGGATTCACTTGGGTATTTCACAAAATACAATTCCAATTTATTCAAAGAATCCTTTAAAAATTCAAAGAAATCAAGTCCATCAATGACTGAACTTGAAATGGTGATGACCGACTGGTTGGCAAAAGCTATTGGATTACCTCACCAATTTTGGAATTCTGATCCAGGGCCAGGCGTTGGAATGATACAAAGTACTGCAAGTGATGCAACACTAGTAGCATTACTTGCAGCTAGGGCTAGAGCTGTTAAGGTAAAATTGAATCTTCCATCGAGAAAGAAATATTTCTTTTTAAGAAGCTAAAGTCACAGAATATTCAACTTGGTCAATGGGAAAAATTTTTGAAAACTCCATTTATTAAAGCACTTGGGCATCAACTAAGTGAAGTTGGTGTATCATTGAGGAGCAACTTGCCCAAATTTAATGGGATGATTAATGGAGGGCAAAAAGTAAGGAGAAGGATCTGTTTGAAGAAAATATAAACAAAAATTTTGAAGGTTGAACAAACAACAAAAAATCCAATCGGCGAAGTAACAATCTTTGAGGCACATGATTCAGCTTATTTTGATAGATTAGTAGCTTATTGCTCTGATCAAGTATTTGTTATTTATTTATTTTGACACTTTTTTTATTTTTAAGGCCCATTCTTCAGTAGATAAAGGAATAATGTTAATTGGTGTTAAAATAAGAAAATTGCCTACATCCAAGTATTTAAATATTTAATTTTTGTAATTGAAAATTTAATTAAGAAATAAATTGGGAAATTTCTCCTTGGAAGCTTCAATACTTGAAAAGGCTATAAATGTAAGTTGAAGAAATACCTTGAATTGACAACGCTCTGAGTTAAAACATTTTTTTGTCAAATTTTTAGGAAGACCGCTCAAACGGTTTAATTCCCTTTATTCTAATAATAACTGTGGGTACAACAAATACATGCGCAGTTGAATCAATTAGAGAATTAGGTCCAGTATGTGAAAGGGAAGGTATTTGGGTGCATGTAGATGCTGCTTATGCTGGTAATTTTTTATTTAATTTTTAAATTCTAATTAAATTTTTAAATTTATTAAATTTAAAAATTCAAAGGCAGTTTTCTTCTCTGTGAAGAATTTGCTTATCTGGCAGATGGTGTTGAATTTGCTGATTCTTTTAATTTTAATGCTCATAAGGCAATGATGATTAATTTTGATTGTTCTCCAATGTGGTCGGTTGATATTTTGGTAGTATAGGGTGAAAATAATTTGGGGTAACTCTTAGGTAGGTATATCCTTAATTCGATGGACAATTAAAGCTAAACAAACGAGGTGACCATTTTCGTGAGGTATCTAAAATTAAAAATTGTCTGAAAAATAAACAGGGCATTGTCATGTCCGATGTTTTCATGCTGTAGAAAAATGTGTGGATGGGAGATGGAATTGAATCATCACGGAAAGGGCCCGAACCGAAAGCACAACCGACTGTGCCATCATCCAACCCGATGATGGGTTATTTATTTTCATTTAAGCATTTATTTAAATATTTTGTTATCAATATTATTTTAAATGCTTTTGACCTTTTTACTTTAAACTTATTCCCCCAAATTATAATTCAAATATTTCCCTTCTTTATGTTGTAAAATAATCTCTTTTCCTAAAACCTTTCCTTTATCATATTCAAATATTTCCCCCACAACATTCGCCTCTCTTTGTCTCTTAATAACTTATATTCAAATACTTCCCTCCAAACATTTGCCATTTCTTTATCAACCCATCTTCTCTTAAAACATACTCAATTCCCGCCCGTTTTTACCCCTATGAATATCCACCTATGTTTTGCTATTTTCATATTAAATTGAACTAAAACTTAAAATTAAATAAGTATTAAATTAAATTAGATTGATTGATTTCCTCATTAATTGAGAGTTAAAAAATAAATAAAGTTATTTCCTCAAATAAATTTGAGAGTTAATTATTGTTAGTCTCGGACGCAACAGGCATACTACTAGCCTCAACATTTTTATTACGTTTCTGTGTCTTTTCGAAAGCCCATCCATATTTATAATTAATTAAAATGATCACTGAAATATTCCAATCTCCCAGGCATAATTAATTTAAAAAATCTTCAGGTTCAAAAACGGTGCAGAGTCAATATCTTATTTTAATGTTGATCCAGCCTATTTGAAACATGAATATCAGGCAGTTGCCTCTGACTATAGGGTAGAGATTAAATTAATTTTTAACTAAATTATTTGTAAAGCATTTACAAATTGCTCTGGGCCGGAGATTTCGTTCACTAAAAATCTGGTTTGTTCTTAGAGCGATTGGAATTAAAGAGATTAAACAATATTTGAGAAAGGCTAGTCAAATATAAATTATTTTTTTAAAATAATTTTTAGCAAGTTGAATTAGCTAAATTGTTTGCAGAATTACTTTTAAATGAAACAAATGGTTATATTTCTTCTTTTGAACTTTTTGTTCCTCCACATTTGGGTTTGGTTTGCTTCAGATTAAAAGTAAATATTTAATAGTTTGACATGCCGACAAAATATAGCCTATTTGGACTAAGTAAAGTTCAGTACCCTACTTAAGCATACAATAGCTCACATTTTGATGGTATATCCTACGTCAAAACTCTGCCTTAGAATTAGTTTCGCATATGTTGTCCATAATAGTCACTTTTACTTCTACATAATTTTCCTTTACTTTTTTTAAATTTATATTTCAGGGAAGCAATGAGTTGAACGAAGCACTTTTGACAGCTCTAAATACCGATGGTCGTATCCATTTAGTTGCTTCAAAAACTCACGGTACATATTTTCTTCGTTTTGCAATTTGCAGTTCAAAAACTACTGAAAAACATGTACATAATGCTGTTGAGTTAATTAAAGAAATTGCAGAGAAAATCTCAATTTGTTATTAAAAGATTTATTACGCTAATAGACTTACCTATACATTTTATTTTTCAAACTTCCTAATTGTTTTGTAGCATATACATGTGCATGAACTAAGTCGGACACCTCAATTTTTGGTATGTACTAGTGCTTCATCCGAACCGGAAATTTGGCCGGAACCGGAACCGGAACTTCCGGCGAAGCTCTAGTACGTACATCTTTAAGAAAACTAAACAATCTCCTCAATAATGAATACAATTACTTATAAGTAGCTTTTCGTCCCCAAGGGTGTATTAAAAGAGCTCCGTCTTTGTTTTGATCAGAAAATTATCAATCTATTAATTAACCTCTATTTAATCACTATAAATTTTACTAAATTTCCACCTTTAACTAAAAAATAAAATAAAAATATGTTTACTAACTAACACGTAAATAAATATAATATTTTTTTATAAAAAAATTTTTTTTATTTAGTACAATAGTAGGCGCCAAGTTGATAAAATATTTTATTTATTATAAAAATATATTTATAGTAAATATCCAAATCTTTTGTTAAAAGGATCACATTACTCATTGAAAAACAAGAATTTTACTAAAGAATTTTAGGTTGCCTTTAAAGTTTTGATAAAATTGAAAACAATTTTTTGAGGATTTTTAAGAAAAGTGTTAACCTTTTTGTTATTTTTTAATGTTTACTTAAGTGTTGTTCTCTCAGATTTTTTCTATATAAATAAATATTTTGAAGTTAACTGAAAACAGTTTTTTTACAAATTCTTATCCATCAAAAAATAAATAAATCTTTTAAAATAATGAATAAAATTTTAATTATTTTTGCTATAATTTCTCTCTCAAGCTTTGCTTTAATGCAAGTTGATGCTTGGTGGTACGAATTTAAATGATAACTCTTAAAAACTTTATAAAATTAAAATAGTAAGATAGTATAAGGTATTTTAGCTTTAGAATACAAATATCGAAACAGAATTTTGTATAATATATCTTATCATAAAGGAGCCTAGATATTTTAAAAACTATTTTACTTAACTAGGCCTTATTATGGATATGGATATGCTGGTGGTTATTACCCTTATTATGGCAAACGTGAAGCTGGATTTCAGAACTATTTACCAAATAAGCCGTCAAATGGGCATGTAATACCTGGAAATCGTGAAGATGATATGGGGATAGCTTAACGAATATTTGAGGAAAAGAATAAATAAAAATAAAGAAATATATTTTTAATCATTTCGATTAATAAATGAATAAAACAATTTTTTAAGTAAAACAAAAAAAAACAAATATTATTTTTAATAACAAATTAAAAAAGATATCTATAGAAATCGGTTAATTTTTTATAGAAAGCTATTTATTTTAGTCGAACAACCTTAATTTGGACCGTAGAAAATTTTTAAAATTTGTTAAAAGTTGATAATGTAAAAAATTGATGTAATCCCGTTTTTAAAAATTTAAATTATCATTTTTATTTCGAACGAGATCTTTTTTTTAAATTTAATTAAGCATCGCTAGTTTTGATATTAGTGATGACCTCACAATACGATTAAAAAAGGATATTTTTCTCTTTTCTTTTATCAAAGTTCAGTTCCACTTAATTTTAAAGATCTTTGATTCGTCACTAGATTATCTCGTGGAATTTGGCAATAAACACGTTTCTCTGTTCTTTTAAATTTCAATATACCGGAAGTTGATGTAATATACGAACAAATCATCCAAATTTACTTAACAAAATTTTTCTCGTTAGTAAATTGAATTTCTACGTATTAGAGATTAATATATTTTTAATTAAATATCAGAACAGACAATTCTCTCTCTCTCTCTAAAACAATTAAAATAGGATTAGACAAATAAATTTTTTTAAATTTAAATTTAATTCCTAAAGGTCTTTGATCAATTTACTTAAATAAGTATTAAAACATGGCTATTTAAATAACGAAAAAATAATCAGAAAATTCATTATTTTTCAACAATAAAGACAAAAAAACTTCAAAAAATGTCTCTTAATTCGGTTAAATTATCTATTTTCACTTCAATTTTCTTTTTGGGAATTTTTTATTCTTTTGGAATGATGGGAGAACGTTCTAGGGAGTGCGATGAATTATTATGGGATGCGGGATTTAAAGGGATTGAAAAATTCCACAATATTTGTACAAATCCAACGGCAATAAAATCTGATATTCAAACACAACTTCTTGCCTGGGCAGCGGAATTTAATGTTTCTGTAAGTAAATAAATATTTATTTTTATGTTAAAAAAGTGTATATATTTTCGAAGAAAATTATATTAAAAATTTTTTTTCAAATTTTAGTCAGAAATTTTGGTAGGGAAACTGGTGGAGGGGGAAGAGGAGGAGGGGGTATTTGTCGTCAATTAAAAGCATTGCCAGAAAAACAGTGCCGGGTTTCGGGGATTTTATGACTCCATCTGAGTGGATTCAAATTCTTGGCTAGCATAAGAGTCAATTAAACGGCCCTTCGTTTTAATAAATTAAAAATTCTCTTTATAGACCAAATTCCAAACATGTTCAAATTGGCATCAAGAAGTTTTAACAAATATTACAAATTATGCCAACAACAATTTTAAAGGATCGTTGTTTGATTTGGTGAATAATTTAGTTGTAAGTTGTTTTAGCCAAAATTATTTAAGAATATTATTTTTTAAGACCATTTTGTCAGACAATTCAAAAACTCGAGTTCATGAATGTAATGCGACTTTTGCTTTACTCGAAGCAGCTTCACCAAGGCCAGAAAGTAACAAAACAATGCGACATGAACATATGAGTTGTATGCATCCACCCCCATCTTCAAGTGTTTGTACTTTATATCCACAAGAATGTTATCATGGAAGAGTTCCTTTTCCGATAGATAATAATAGAGGAGGTGAAATGCATGATAATAGAGAAGGAGGAACGGAACATGTAAACTTTCAGCATGTTCCCAAAAATGAAAATGAAGGAGGATATGGAAATAATAATAATCAATCATAAAGAATAAATAAAAGAAATAAATATTGTGAATATGTAATGATAATAATGTAATTTTAATAAAAAATATATTTTCTTTAGATTCAATGACATCGATTTCAGTAAACATTTTTAAAGTCTCGAGTCGTGATTAAATTTTTTAAATTAAAAAATAAAATAATTAAAAAATTATTTTAAAATTATTAACTTAATTCCAATTTTATAATTCTTTTTAAATTTTGAGATTTAAATTATGGGCATATTTTTGTATTAGCCAAAATCGACAAGAAAGCTTTTGACTCTTAAATTATTTTCATGTTGGCAATATCTAGTGGAATATTTACTTAAATCTCCGAATTTAGAATTCTTTTTTAAACGTTGGAATTTAAATAAAGATCAGATCCTTTTGGCTCGGTTGAGCTAAAAGAAAAATTTTTTGTTTGCATTCTAATCTTGTGAAAATTTTTTAAATAATTTTCCTCCCCTTTATCGCTCAATTATGGAGTTAGAGATTTCCAGCATGAAAAATAATTTAAAAGTTAAATCCATTACTCTCTCGATTTTTTACTCATTCGAAACCGTCATCGCTAAAAAGGAATTGTTAAAATGCAGTTAATCAAATAAAAATATTTTTTAAAATAAATAAAAATTAAAAATATATTTAAATAATGATAAGAAGTCTTCGAACAATTCACTTTTAATTAAATATTTTCTTTATTTCATAGAAGTATTCCTGCCCCGGGGAACGGGGACCCTACTTTTACATAAGAGTGTTAAATTAATATTATCATTAAATTAATATTATTTATAATTCTTCAAAAGATTTTATTTTAGAACAATATTTTTAAATATTATAAAATTTAAATTCCAACAAAAATGACTACTCCAATCAACATTTATATTATCCTCTTTTCATCCTTTTTAATATTTCATTCAATCAACGGTTGTATTCCCGTAGGACAACAATGCAATTCCAACGATGATTGTTGTCCTATTAAAGGTATTGATGTAACATGTCATGGCTCCTGGACACCTACAAAACAGAAAGGAAAGTGTAAGAAAAGTTGTGATGATAAAGGAGCAGCTTGTGACCCTGATGTTTGGTCTAATTGTTGCAACGGTTGTGATATTGATCACAAAAAGTGTAAATAAAAAAATAAAAAAATAAAAAGTGATTAATCTTTAATTTTTCTCACTTTCTTTTTCTAAATTACATATAAATTGTATTTGGGTTTATAAACTATTCTTTAAAGCGAAAATACAAATTAAATTAAATTTCATACCCCTCTCTTTTACTTTGTTTTGTGAACTTTATTTTTTCATTCTTTAAAATGATGGCTATAAAAATAAATTTTTAATAAAATTTAATATAGGTATTTCCAAGTGTTTAAACGGTTCTGTATTACAAACTACCGGAAATACAAAATCGGTAGTTCCGTCACTACAGATACTGAAATTGTACCGAAAGTATCCTTTTTTATTTACTTTGCTACCTAAACTTTTAATATAAGATTTAATATACCTATAAATATCCACTAGAAATTAATATATCTACATCCTGTTTACTAAACAAGATTAAGTAAAATAAAATACAGATATGTATATTTTATATTGAATAATCTACAGATTAATCAGAAATTTTCTATTTTAGAGGCTTTTCCTTCTAATTTCGAATTTCGACTACTATAAGAACAAAAGAAATAAAGAAATAATTTTTAAAATGTAGACTAAAATTCTCGGTTACTTTTGGTTTTTGATGCAAAGTGAAGGCAATTTTAAATAGCGCATTATTTTAGGCTAAATGAAAAAAATAAAACAAAAAATAATTTAAATGTTTTAAATTATTTTTTATTTTATTTATAAATTTAAAAAGGCATTTTATTAAAGTTTAATTAATTATTTTTTTTAATTTAAAAGAAAATAAAAAATATTTATGTTTAGTTTTATGTTTCCAAACATTTTAATTAAAAGGTTGGTACAGAAAAGCTAAAGTCTTTTGGGAATTTTAATTAAAAACTTTTGTTTTTTGAAGGAAAGTAATAATGAATTTTATTTAGTAATCATCCTTATTCTAACATCCTTTTCAGAAAAATAGACAAAAAATAACAACAATATATTTTTTATGTTTACCACAACTCTGCATGAATAGATTCCCTCTATTCACATAGATTTTCTGGTACCAAAGTGAACTTATCAGGACTAAAACTCTTAGTCGGGGAGGTTTACAGTCGAAAAAATGCCCGAATATCGAGCCCATCTTTGTTCCTAAAATAATTTTTGAAATAACTCTGATTAAAAAACAAACATATCTTTACATTAAATAATTCCATATATTTAATTATTTAAATTAATTTATTCCGTAGAATTGCATTTTTCGTGAGATGTTTTGTTTTTCATTTATCTTAATTAAAATTTATCACATAAAATGTACTTTAATACAATTTTATTTCAATTTTTTATATTGAGATACATATAAATTTAACTATAAATAAATAACAATAGAAATTTAAGTAAAAAAGTGCATAAAAATAAAATTTAAGACCAACAAAAATTAAATGATAGGCAAATACCAAAAATAATTCAAATTTTTCTGAAACTGATTAGATTTGTGACTTGTACAATTCTAACTAATAAGCTTGAGTAGATAAGACTGATGTGCCCTGCCGTATTTTAAAAAGACGGAAGCGGGAGAGATCCCACTCCTTATAGAAACGTAATAATAATACCTTGTAACGTATTTTAAGACTATATTTTAAGTTACAAGCCTCTCAAAATTATTAAATTATGTCCAAATCAGCTAACCGCCTTATCAATCATTTGACAAATTCAAGTATAGAGTCAGCACCAGATGGAGGCAGTATATTCGGACACAGACCGATTCGACGGCAAATGTCAAATGCTGTTTATATTTACAAACATCAACTCCCCAGTAATATTTTAAAATTTTTTCATTAAATTTTTAAATTTTCTGTCGGTACAAGCTCCTCAGAAGACAATTGGTTAGCGAAGGAATTGGAAAATGTAACAGGGAACAAACTAAGACCCGTTGGTTCAATTATCCGTCGAAGTTCAAATTCCTCTCGAAGGCCGTGCAAAACTCCGTCAATAAGGCATTTAATATTTTTAACTTCAATATTTTAATTTATTTAGATCAGATTTACCATCAAATCCCCCATCACCTCCGCTCGATCCTAGTACATTAAAACAACAACCTCTTTCAACCACTTCTTCCTTCGCATATCCAACAAAATTTAGGGCATCAGTGCCTGCTATTTCAATTGAAAAAGACGAAAATCTGCATGAAGGAGGGTCAGTTTATTGGTGTTTAACCTTTCTGATTACAAAAAACTAGGCGTGAAGATGTACAGGGTGCGCCATAAGTAATTGCACACTTGTTTTCTCTCATAACTTTATTAAAACACAATCAAATAAAATCGAAATACAATCAAATGATAGAGAATTAAATAAGGAACAATAATAATCAAGAAGATTCGAGATGCCCACCTTTGGCTTTGATACAGAGGCGAAGGCGTGAAGAAAAATTTTCGCAAATAGCACGCACCTCCTTGAGTGTAATTAAGTCTCACTCTCGGGTGAGAGAGTGGCGTAGAGACTCCAAACTTTTGTGCCGCTTAGAACATGCCCTAGACTCCAAAATAGACCAAAAAGAATAATCCAACGGATTCAAATCGGGGGAGTAGGGCGGCCATTCCTGAGCGCTAATGAACCCAAGAAAATTGGCCTTGCACCAGTCCTTAAATTCTTTCGCTTTGTGTGCCGTAGCAGAGTCCTGTTGGAAAATCCAGACTCTGCGACCGAAATGGCTCTTGAACCGAGGCTTCAGAACACGCTGAAAAAATTATCGCAAGTAATAGTCTTTGTTGACTTTTACACCAAAATCCACGAAAATAAGGGGTTTTTTGACTGACGCGCAAATACCGGCCCAAACCATGAGAGATTGGGGATGTTGGGAATGAGTGATAAGCTCATCGGAATGAGGAGATTCTGTAGTCCAGATTCTATAATTTTGATGGTTGTGTACGATTTTTATTGTAAAAATTTTTTCGTCTGAGAAGGGAATGTCCGGACATGCGTGCCACTGAAGGAGCAGTTTGCATCCTGCAAGCCTAACTTTTTTTGTTTTTTCTGTTAGCAGTTGTGCTTTTTGGATTTTGTAGGGTATTAACCCTAGTTTATTTTTAGCTATTCGTCTGACGGTCCTCTCACTTATTCCGGTTTCACGAGCCACTTTTCTCATGGAGGGTCGAGAATTGCGATGCACCTAGTTTTTGATCATTTTAATATTCTTGGAAGTGCTGACGGTACTCGGTCTTCCACTTTTTTGTAAGTTCTTAGTTGTGCCATCATTACTAAATTAATTTCAAAAAAATTTTCTCCCAAAAAATTTTCACCAGAATTTTTTGAAAGTGTATTGTACAGTGCTCTTTGGGACATTCAAAAGAGGTGAAATTTTGCGGACTGAATTTTTTTTCAAAAAAAGGAAATTATAGAATCACGTTGATTAGCCATAATAGAGAATTGAATGAGCTACAAAATAAGCATAAAATCGATTAAAAATATTGACAACAAAAAAAGTTATAAGGAATTTAAAAGTGTCCAATTACTTATGGTGCACCCTGTAATTACTTTTGTGGACAACAAATCAACGACAGCAGCAACAGCTGATGAATTGATGCAAATGTTAATGGAGGATGATGGTACTGACCGACCTATTATCTTTACAGTTTTTGAGGCTGCTAATATAGATGGAGTGAGGCATTTGTCTTCAAAAAGTCGATGTACTCGGTTAGAATTTATGAAAATATTTTTAAAATTTGTGTGGCTTTTGGATGGAAGAGTGCTGAATAAGCGGTTTAGTTACCAGAATATGGCCCCTGTCTCATTTTAAAATGCAGAAGCAGAAAGGTCAAAAAATGCGGAATTCTGCGGAAGCGTATATAGCCGTCCCCTGTTTGATACCCCATCTTTAAATAAAATTTCTTTAGTACCAAGGGCTTTGTAAGGTTACAACAAAAAACCCTGGAACAGGGCACTGGAATTTGAAAAGTTTGAAATTTAGTTTAAATTTTATTTTTAATTTTTTCTCTTTTCTTCATTTTATTTTTTTAATTTATTCAAAATTCTTTAATTTAAATCCACAAATTAAAAAAAGAATTATAAAATTGCAGTTAAGCAAATAAATTGAATGAATGTTTTTAAGCTAAATGATTTATGAGCCAAACCCAATACCTTTCTTGTTTCTTGGCTCATCCAACAGCCTGATCATTACTTAAATCGTCATATCCAGTAAAGCATTTTAAAATATCAGTTAAGCAAATAAAAATTTAAAAAATTTATTTAAATAATGATAATAACTCTTCAAACAATTAATTTCAAATTAAATATTGCCTTTTTATAAAAATTAAAATCAAGATATCAATTTAAATTAATACATATAATTTAAATTTATAATTAAAAAACTTTTATTTTAAATATTTTAACAAAAATGAGTACTCCAATCAACGTTTATATTATTCTCTTTTCAACTTTTTTAATTCTTCAATTAATCAACGGCAATCAAGAACAATGTATTGGAAAAGGAGGTAAATGCGATGTCGACAGAGATTGTTGTGGTGATTATGATGTAAGATGTGTTGGCGCCTGGGAACCTACAAAAACTCCAGGAAAATGCCAAAAAACTTGTGATAAAGATGGGGTAACTTGTACACCTACTCCTAAAAATAAAGATGGTAATTGCTGCCACTATTGTGATAGTAAAATAACCAAAAAATGTTCGTCCAAAGATACTTCTGATTAATTTCTAATAATTTTAATCTCCTTTATTTTCTTTTCCAAATTACATTTAAATTGTATCTGGGATCATATTATAAACTATCCTTAAAAGAGAAGCTTTAAAATGGCCCCAAATAATCCTAAAATCATAGTAAATAAATGTAAAGCACCTCACTCATCTTTTGCTTTAGCTATAAGAGAAATAATTTAGCTTTATACATTCTTTCTATTCAACAAATAAAATTTTTTTATTTTAACACTTTATTTTCGTGGTTTTTTCTTTCGATTTGAATTTAAGAAATAAAAAAATAAAAAAAAAGAAAAGTTTTTCAAAAAGGGAAAATTCACTTTTCAAATTCCAGTGCAATGTCCCGGAATTTTATGTTATTCAATTACTAAGGGGAATAATCAAATTTAGATTATTAAGAAAACAATATCAGATTCAAATAGAGACCGAAGATAAAATCGATTTAGATCGGTATTTTAAAAATATCCTTACAGTATGCCACTAAAATTAAAGCCAGTAACAATTTTATCAACGCAAAATTGGAGTTTAATAATATAGACCAAAAATATAGCTAGAAAATACCCCACTAGGGTTGTCGGTTCCTGGAAATTATAGGATATCCGAAACTCCAGAACCGACAACCCACTCCCAGCTCAAAATAATTTTAATTGATTAAAATTAAACTCAATATTTTTTAAAATTTATTTTTTATTTAATCATTCAAAAATTCTTTTCTTAAATTTTATCATAGAATCTATCATTTACTTTGTAACATTTAAACGTTTTGTTTTCTTTTCTCTTTCAATATCAATTTCTTTCATACATTTTCTCATTTTCCAATAAATATGTAAACCTTCAATAATACCCAAAATTAAAAGAATTCCAGCAAAAATCTTTGAAAAAAATTTATATTTTAAATCAAAATTGTCAACTTGTGTCATAATAAGCATTTCAAGCAATAAAGGTCGAAAATTTGTGCATCTCCAAGAAGCTTCCCAATTAAGTTCTGTTCTGACTTTAAACAAAAATACAATAAGCCAACCTAGAGCGCCAATCAAAATTATTAAAATTTCCAGAAACTTGAAAAATAAATTTTAATTGTAGTATTAGTAAGAACAATGATTCGGCACTCGAGCGAAAATTTTACTTTCAGATCTTGTGATTAAAATATTGTATAATATGGAATCCCGCCAATACTCTCATTCATACATTTGTTCAATTCAGTCTCGAAAGTGTCGTATTAACGGGATTCCAGAGTTATGATGTTCTAAGAGTGCGTTTTTGTTAAAGTTTCAACAAAACCATTTCCCAAATCCTTTCAAATAAATTTTACCAATTTTCCCCGTCTCTGTTCTAAATTGTCAACCTCCAAACAATTAAGCAAATAAACTTGAGAAAATAGTAATAATAAATGAGCAAAACCAACAGCTATTGTTGCAACAGAACGATTAGCTAAATTAATTAGTGGGGAGGCTTGTCCGAATTTGTGATTTTCCAAATTATTTATTAGCTCCTCTTGTAGATTTATCTAGTAGAAAATAGTAAAGATAATGTAAGTTCGTTCTAATAATTAAAATATCTTAACAATTTTGTATTTTTCTTAATTCTCTCTGTATCATTTCAGAAAAGGACCGTTTCCGGAAAATCTGGTCTGTGTGGGGCTTGATCTGGTCTGTACTTTCGGATTTTTCGGATTCTAATTGCCTATCTACCTTATAACAAAGAATTTCTTTTTGCTCTAAATGTTGTTTTTGTTTTGTTTCATTATCCAATACATTTAACCTAAAAAATAATTTTTTATTTAAAATTTTATTTAACATACTCATCATTATCTTGAACATTTCTATTTAAATCTGAAAAATATCGACGTTCTTCATCTGGCAAAATAGCATTTTTTTGCATTTCTAACCATGGGAGACGTCTTTTCTCTTTAAAATAAAAAATTAGCTTTAATATTTTTTTGTTATCAGGATTTTTTAGGAAGCTTTAGGAAATCTCCTAAAATATTTGGGAAATCTCATCAGAATCCTATACATATAATTTAATGAGAGTTCTTTACGAAGACCACACGAAAATGCTTGAATTAAATGGACTCTGGTTTTGGGTGCTTTTCTTGGCATTCTTTTTGATTTTTGTGTTGTATAATATTTCGGTTTTGGTCAGTTCTACTGACCATAGCAAAAGCTTCGCCACCGGGTAGGATTCGAAACTGCGACAACGCTGACAGTGATCGCTCGGCCTTGCTCACACAAATGCAGGCGCTCTACCACTGAGCTACTGGGGCATCGACTAATGCTTATTCTTTTATCCTTTTAGTCGTTTAACCCCCACCTAAGCGTTTTAAATGCTCTAGGTGAATCATTCTCACACTATCAATCTAATAATCCCATAGCTTTTATATTTCAATGAAATAAAAATTTAAAAAAACAAGCAAACCTCGTCTAATTCCTTCATTAACCTCTTTCAATTTCTCCTCTTTTTTATTTTCTTTTTTTAATTCAATTTCTAACAATCTTGCAGAAGAATAAATTTCTTCTTTAATTTTTTCAGCAATTTTTTGTAATTGTTCTTTTTCTGGTTTTGGTGGCATAAACTTTTCTCCATCAAAACTCCACCATAAACGTAAATTTGGAGAAATATTCTTTTTTAAAAGAATTTCTATTAATTTAAAAATTAATTTTTACCGATAAAATATTCATTCGTTTCTCTTCTGGATTAGGTGGCAAATAGAAAAATAATTTTTGGCATGTTCCGTCTATTTCATAACGTATAACTGTCTTAATATATTCTGATAAATATTTATATTAGGTGTTATTTCGGCTCAAGGAACCGGGAATATTTAATTTATTTTCTGTTTAAAGTTTATTGTCTTAGATATTTAATTAGCAGTTCAAAATATTTTATTTAAAATCATTGAATCCCAATTTTACTTGGGGCTAAAAAATTGTGAAAAAATTGATTATACTTATTATCGCAAATATTCTAATACTCACTCAATGAGGCATTGGAAACAGAGCTGCACGCAATTGCGGACTGCAGATTGCATCTGCGGAAAATTTTTTTCAATTGCGTGCACCTCTGATTGGAAAACCCAGAATTTCCATTAAATTATTTATGTATCTCTAATTTCTTTTCAAGTCATTCTAAAATATTTAATTAATAATTTTGTCTCTACTTCCGATTACATTTTTGTAAATTTAAATCATCGTATAAACATCTATTAAATTGGGTATTTAATTTATTCCAATACCTTTGTGCTTACAAAGTGTCCACAAATAATACATTCACTAAATACCCTCCATAATAAAATTACAATAAGTAAAATTTGGGTAATCTTTAAAAGCAATAATAAAGCAAATCGCATAGTTTAGAAAATTAATTTTTTAAATTTAATTTTAAATAAAAATTTTAAAAAATAAAATTATTTATTTGAGGTTGATTACAAAGTAGCTGTTCTTATTTGCTTTAAAGATTAACAATTTAAAATACCAGTAGTTATTTAATGAAAACGAATTTTAATCTTTTATTTTTAATTTAATTATAAAAAAGTATTTTTACTTAACTTATTTCTCTCCGATATTTGTGTAAGGGGAGAAAGATTCAATCTGTCAAGAATTTTTTGCTAGCTCGCTCGTTTAACATAAGAGGAAAAATACCTGAACGTTATGAGCTTAGGCTCCAGGAAAGGTGCTTTTTAACGCATGGAGCTCTTTAACGACATAGAACGACATCGAAAATTTCTTTCAGTTTATAATAATTAATTTTAAGATATACATGGTTTCTTTTGATTATTCTCTTTATATGTTTGTGTTTTTATCAAATTGGAGCGCAGGTTGGAAATTAACACTTTTTTTAGATTTCTATCCTAATAATATTTTAAAAGAATTTTTAATTTAAAAAGGCAATGATGTACTGGTTAACACCTGTAGCCACAAATATAATAGCAGCATATCCAGAATCTATTGCTTTTCCGGTCGTAGCAATATGTAACAGTAATCAGCACAGAATTACTTGGATAACTGGAGATAATATACAAAAACGACAAGGAAAGAAAGCCCCATTGGATTCAAATAATTTTATTGATAATTTAAATTATTCAGACATTTTTGACAAAGTAAGAAGAAATAAATTTATAATAATTTTGAAATAGGATGTAATAGTTCATTAACAAGTGCTCTAACAACTAAACTACCTTCTCTTATAATAGATCTTAAATCCTTTCTCTCCCCCGCCCCCCCCCCCCCCCCCAGTAAGATTTTTAGATGTTAAACAGCTGGATTTCCTTTCTTTCAATATATAGATATACAAAAATAGTGTACAGGTATCATTTGTGCATTTATGACAATGATCATTCTTTCCCCACCTAGAGATCGAACTATTTTTAAATAATTTAAAGGCTCTTTTGCAAAGCTGGGACATGGATGCAGGTCATTTTCTACAAAATGCTGCCCATCAAAGAACTAGAATGATTGTAAGATGCGAATTACCTAATGGTAGTAGATGTAATGCACGAGATTTTCGACCGGTTTGGACATTAACTGGACTTTGTTGGGCGATAAATGTAGACTCGGCAAATCCAATACATGTATATTTGAATTTAAAATTAATAGTCTATTTAAATTATAATAGGTAAGCGGGGCTGGGCCAGGAAATGCACTTCGGCTGCTTGTTAATATTGAAAGATATGAGAGGATTGAAAGGTGATTAGGAAGTATTCTCGGATAAAATTCAAAATTTTAAAAACTAAAGTTGCACACCAAAACTTCGTTCTCGCTTTTTGCCTGGTCTGAAAGTTCTTATTTATAATCAAACAGATGTACCCCCACATTATTTGGAGGGTGTAAATATTCCTGCTGGTTTTACAATGGATATTCCCTTTTGGATGAGACATGTTAGTAAATATCTTTATCTAATTAAAGCATTTTTAAGAGACAAAAATTGCCCGGAAGAGACTGTGTTGTTACCAAAATTTCCGAAAATGGAAAGAATGAAGGGAATGGAAGTCAAAATAAAAATAGCGAAAGGGGATGTTTAATGCGTAGTTATTTAGGTGAAATTGAACGTCGTTGTAATTGCTCTATGAGAGAAGCTTATTTTCAAGAAAATGGTTAACATTAAAATTTATAGTTTAAAAATTGGTTTAAAAGTCACAAAATATAGACAAATTCGGCAAATTCAACCTATAATTCGGTAAAAATGCTAGAATAGGGAAAAGAAGGGATAGACAAGACTGAAAAAATATGTAAAAATGGATTTAGAAAACCTTAACCATTAACACAAATTTGAAAATCATTGGACTCACGCTTACCAACTCATAGGATGTTAATGAAAAATTGAAAAAATTATTGCTTAAATAAATCATAAAATCAAATAAAAAGATGATCTTCATAAACAATTTTCACAATGTAATGTTCTACAATATTTTGAATGTGTTCAATCTGTTTTGGAATGGGCGCGAAATATGGGATTCAATAATTTTCACCATTGCCCTATTCCTTGTAAGAAAATAATTTAAAAATTAAAAATAAAACATTTGGAAGGTGAATCTGTTGATTACACTGCTTGGCAAGATATGAATGAATTGCCTAGTAATATTTTTCCAAAATTAATATCCGATTGGAATGTTGATGAAGATGAAGAGGATAATGAAAATGGAGAAGAATCTTTAGAGACAACAACAAATAATAATAGAAATTTAGATCAAGATAAAGAACAGAGCAATGTGCAGACAATTGTGGATAGTGTTGAACGCGATAAAGAAAGGGTGATTATTTAATAAGTTAAAATAAAAGATGTAGAGTTATTTTAGGCACACTATCAATGCACACATAACAAACTTTTAAGTACTTCACACGTTAGAAGAATTAAAAATGAGGCACAATTGGCTTATGAGAAGCAAGCCCAATACCAAGAAGATATTCAACTTAGAACTAAAAATTTAATTAAACAATTTAGAAAAAGTATTAGCAGGTATTGAAAGAATATCTCGAAAATCGGGACTTAAAATCAGGAACATATATCTAAAAATAAAAAATTATTTTTAAAGAATAGTTGAGATGCAATGGGGTTGGAAAAACGATTATTTTCTTGGAGCCAACAAACGATTAAAACAGATGGTTGGTTGCTATGCTGAAATTCCATTAATACATTCTGATGTATTCTCTGCAATTTTTAATCTCAAGGTGATACTGATAAAAATTGGAAAAAATAAATTTTATTTTCTACCTTGATCTGGGGATTTTTAAAATAGATTTCCTCTAAATTAGATTTTGTCTTTTCTGAGATCCTACGGGGCATGTTTCACAGGAAAAATGATAGAAAAAACATTTTTAATATTAAATTTTTATTCTTGAAATTAATTAAAAATTGTAGCCTCAGGGTGAGGAAGAACGGGCCAATCAAATGATACAACTGCTAAATGAATCTTTTATCAAAAATAATTTATCCAAGCATTATCAAACAATAGGGGAAGTGAAAAGAGAATTTGGTATTAAAGCCGATGGAAAATATAAAGAAATAGAAATGATGGAAGAATTACTTAAAAATATTAAAAAGTATCTCGTTTAATTTCGTTATAACTCCCCTGAATAATCCTCGTAAATTACCTAGATTATTTTCTGAGGAGACATTTACTGAACATTTACCTAACAGAATTGAAAGAATAATGAGTAAAATACTTAACTTTATGAGACAATTCGAAGAAGGAAGTCTTCGACGCAAAGAATGGGCAGAGAGGATGAATACAAGAAATATGAGGTAATTATTGAAGTTTAGTATGTATTTGTTTTTATTTTCTATTTAATCAAGACATTTTTTTGACGAAGATTTTTATGAGGTAAATTAAGAAAGTTCTATAAAATGAAAAAATAATTTAAAGAATTGGTATAATTTAATTGTAAAGGACCTGGAAAATGGAATTATTGGCACAATCCAAAAAATTGAACAATTAATTCCTCAACTTTACTCAAATACAGTAAATGGCACAGCCATTATGGTGAGGGGTTTATTGAATAACTTAAGAAGTTTAAGATACGAAAAATATTTGTTTATGTCGTTGTGTTTACGACAACGTCACACGATACTTGACGATAAATAATTGTCTGTCGTGCTGAAGACATCATTGCTGAAGATGAAGACATCATGTTGACGACGTCAAGAAGATGTCGTCGTGGTGTTGACGACGTCAAGAAGATGTCGTCATGGTGTTGACGACGACGTCAAAAAGATGTCGTCGTGTTGACGACGACGTCAAAAAGATGTCGTCGTGGTGTTGACGACGACGTCAAGAAGATATCGTCATGGTGTTGACGACGAGTCACGAAGATGTCGTCGTCGTGTTGACGACGACGTAAAGAAGATGTCGTCGTGTTGACGACGACGTCGAGGAGATGTCGTCGTGTTGACGACGAGTCACGAAGATGTCGTCGTCACGAAGATGTCGAGAGATGTGGATGTCGTCGTGTCGAAAGATGTCGTCGTCGTGTTCACGACGACGTAAAAAAGATGTCGTCGTGTTGACGACGACGTCGAGGAGATGTCGTCGTGTTGACGACGACGTCAAGAAGATGTCGTCATGGTGTTGACGACGAGTCACGAAGATGTCGTCGTCGTGTTGACGACGACGTCAAGATAACATTGTTGTTGCTCATATCCTTCACACCTCTCTACTAAAATTTAAACTTAAAAAACATTTAAATTTTTGAAAAAACTAGGCTGGTTCTACAATACTTTTTGGCAATGCTAGTTCTAAGAATCAAGAAAGATTGGCAATGTTTATGGACGATTTGCTTGAATGTATATTTAATGACGTCAAAAATACGAGTGCTCAAATGCTTAGAGAATTTCAAGTTTTTCACCAAAAAATAAATTAAAATTTTGTATTAAATCAAAGAGAGCAATGAATGATCTCCAATCATCCCAAACATTGCTTTTTCGGAAGGAATTGCCTGAATATTTGTCGAATTTTGAGTTTGGGACAAAATTTGTACAGTTAAGTTTATAAATAAGGAAATGTAAAAGAGTACCCTTCAAAATTCAAAAATTTAACAAAAAAGTTTTCAGTGAAAACTTTGCTCAAATAAATGTTTTTCTTCATAAAATGAATGTTGAACATTGGCGACAAGAGCCAACATATAGCATTTGGAGCTTTTTTTGTTAGCTTATAGTTTTAGATTTTAATTAATTATCTATTTTTCAGGTGATATTGGAGCAACTATGAGTCTTTTCCTCGGAGCAAGTTTGTAAATAAATAAAATTTGCTTTGGATGTAGTGCCCGACCTGTCATTAAAATGAGTGTAATATCCAGTATAATATCTAGGGTTGGAGGCCCGGTCTGAAGGATCGAGTCGGGCATCGAATTTTGGCACGAAAAAGACTCGATCGGGCCGGTCCGATAAAAATGAGGCCAAAAAATGACTCGAACCTCGGACTGACTAGAAAACCTCAGCTCTACTTATATCCCATGAGCGCTACATTTAGAATCGATTCCTCCCCAAAAGCAATTATTTTTAAAATAAATTATTTAGGCATGTTAACAATTATTGAAGTCTTATATTTTGTTTTGAGCAGTTCACGTATTTATAAGACAATAGAAGTTTGGAGACAAAAAAAATTCACTGGAAACAATGAACAAATAAAAAAGACAAAAATGATAAATAAAAAGTAAAAATTAAAAAATTATTTTTAATTTAACTATCTTTTTACCCAAATACTTACCTCAAATTCATATTTTTTATTTTAGGTTGTTGAGTAAAAATCCAGAAGAAAATGTGTGAATAAAATAAAAATTTATTTGGAATTCTTATAAATTTTACACAAATATTTTTGAATATTTCTGTATAAATTCTATTTAATACAAAAATTCCATACTTGAGTAGAGATAAGTGCTTAGAAATTTCAAAATAACTCGTGAAAGGCGCCCCCCCATAAAATGTCGAATCCACAAAATGGCGCTAAGTTTAAAAACCCACAAAATGTCGAAAGTGGTAAAAATCCATAAAATGGCGTTAAGGGCAAAAACCCACAAAATGTCGCTACATATAATGGGAATCCATAAAATGGCGTTAAGGCTAAATACCCACAAAATGTCGCTAAAATTTTTATTTTTTGTTTTTATCTGTTTTGTTTGTTTGTTTTGATTGTTTTTGACAATTAAAGTGTATTAATTGTTTCCTATCTTATATTTGGTATAAGAATTTTTCCAAGATGGATAATTTTAGTTGAATATCAGGCTTAAAATCGCCGAGTACAGAAGTCAGGAAAACGGCGATTTCCAATCGATGAATCGTCAAAATTTAATCAAGAACAGCAACAATTTTCAGATGAAGCTGAACTACCACCTCTCCATGAGTGGTTTCTTCCTGTCCTTCATGGTAGATGTCGACAAACAAGTGGCACAACATCTTTTAAGCGTCCTAACTCGGCTTGGTTAGTGGATATCTTGATGGTTCGCACATTATAGCTCATCCAGAAGAACATGATTCGGAAGATGTAGTATCCTGTTTATCCTGTTTTATCGATTAGGAGCTTTTATGAATAAAACTGTTTTATTTTTCCAGTTTAATTTATTTTTTTTTAAATTTTGCTTTTTTTCGACATTTTGTGGGTTGCTGGCCTTTTCGCCATTTTATGGATTCGACATTTTGTGGATATTTAGCCTTAACGCCATTTTATGGATTCCCATTATATGTAGCGACATTTTGTGGGTTTTTGGCCTTAACGCCATTTTATGGATTCCCATTATATGGAATCGACATTTTATGGGGGAGCCCGTGAAAGGATGGTCATTTAAACGAGTTCGCATAAATTAATTTTTTATTTGGCAAAAAATAATAAAATTTGTATAAGATAGTGATTTATTAAAACATTTATTTCATATTTAAAATTTAAATTAAACGAGTTTGTTAATCAATAGAAATTGTAAAAAAAATTTTTAATTTAAAAAATTAAAAAAATTTTTTTATTTATTTTACAAATATTTTTAATTATTTGATTACCTGCAATTTTATACGTAATTCTTTTCTAAACGTGATCCCACTAAAACTTAACATAAATCGAGAGGAGTTTTTAATCAAATTTTCATATTGGGATTAGAGGTTGGAGGGAACAGTCGAGCCTAGTCGGAAGAAACTAAAGCCAGATTGATTCGATGATGGCACGATCGTGGTTTTATGAGGTAATCCGGTTCGGGTTTACTCCGTTAGAAAAGTCAGCTAAAAAACTGAAGTCAGCTAAAGAGTTGAAGAATTATCAAATGTTTTAGAAACCATTGATCTTGGGCAAGATTTAGAAAATGGATATATAAGTTTAGAAAATGGATATATAAATGGATATATAAGTAAAAAATTATTCATCGATTTTTGATTATTAAAGATTTTATATGAATAATTTTAAATTTTGGTAAAGTTGATTGATTAGTTTCTGGCCTATGAAAAATAGAATGGCCACCTCCATTTGAATGGCCCTCTAATTGAATGGCCCTTTTTTAGGGGCATTGAAAATAGAATGGCCACCTCCATTTGAATGGCCCTCTAATTGAATGGCCCTTTTTTAGGGGCATTGAAAATAGAATGGCCACCTCCATTTGAATGGCCCTCTAATTGAATGGCCCTTTTTTAGGGGCATTGAAAAATAGAATGGCGGCCATATTACTAGACTAAATACGGTATCTTAAAAAGGATTATAAGTCATGTTGGTTGAGTATAAAGAAAATTTTTTGTGTAAATTCTAGGCCTATGGAAATTTAAGTTCTAGATTTTCATGAAATTAAAGGATTGTAGAAAAAAGTATCTCTAATTAAATTTTTTATTTAATTTTTTTAGACTTTACATCCACAAAAATGTTATCATGGAAGAGTTCCTTCTATGATGCATAATAATAGAGAAGGTGGACTTGTAGCATATTCCTAATTCATAAGTATAATGAAAGAAAGAAATATTTTGAATATAGTAGTAATATTAATAAAAATATATTCTCTTTAGATCAGGGCTTCGATCTCGAATTTGTAAAAATCCGCAATTTTGATCGAAAAAATCCGCATTTGATATGAAAAATCCGCAAAAAATTTATGTGTTATATTTTTTGACTTCAACAATTGAATTATGCAATTTTTTATCACTAATAATAATCTTATAGAAATCCGAACAATTATCTGGAAATTTACACTTAAATTTTTGTTGTGGACGACGCCAAAAATTTTTGTCTTCATTTTTCAGCGCCGCAGGCAAAAATTTTTTTGAATTTTGGAGATCCTTAAGCCAAAAATCTTACATTTTAAGCGCCGCAGGCGAAAATTTGGAGGATTTTTGAAGGCCAGATGACATCTTCTTCCATTTTCAGCGCCGCAGGCGAAAATTTTGAGAATTTTGGAGGTCCTTAAGTCAGATTTCTCCTATTTTCTGCGCCGCAGGCGAAAATTTTGAGAATTTTGGAAGGTCTTAGCAGAAAAATATACATTTTATCCTAAAAACTACAAGAAAATACAAAAAATCCTCATAATCTTCAAAAGACCACAAAAATCCGCAAATCCGCAATTTTAAAAATAATCCTCATCGCCCTATCAAAAAACCACAAAATGAGGAAAAATCCGCAGAAATCGAAGCCCTGCTTTAGATTCATTAACTTTAATTCCAAAAAACTTTTTTAAAGTCACAAGTCATATTTTTTAGATTAATAAAAATAAAAAATTTTATTAAAATAAAAAATATTTCTAAATTATTTGCTTAACTGCAATTTTTATAATTTTTTCTAAATTTGGAGATTTAATTTATGGCCAAATTTTGTATTAGCCAAAATTTAAAAGAATGCTTTCGGCTCTTAAATTATTTTCATGTTGACTTTTAAAATGACTTTTAATGTTGGCTTTTAATTTTTAATTTCGTGTTGGCTTCAGGGTTGTCGTTTTACCCTATTTATAGGGGATTTTCCCTATTTTTGGCCTTTTCGCCCTATTTTTTCCCTATTTTATACATTTGCCATATTTTGCCCTATTTTTAACATTTTGTAATATTTTTAAAATTTTCAGGCATTTTGTATATAAAATGCGAAAAAAACAAAAAAATCTAACTCTTGGACATAAAAATTCCCAAAATTTTCGCCTGCGGCGCTGAAAAAGAAATATCTCACATTATTTAATTTCTCAAAATTTTCGCCTTCGGCGCTAAAAAAAGGAAAAAATCTGGTTTCATAACTTTACAAAATTCTCAAAATTTTGCTAAATATGGAAGAAATCTATTGGTTACAAAGCTCTTGAAGATAAACTTGATTATCGAAATTCTCTTGCGATTGTATTACGATAAATATTTCAGTTTTTCGAGATATCTCGTACTATTCACGTACGACATTCCCAGTCTGGTCTCTAATCTGAACTTTTCTGTTTTTTAGAAATTTAGTTAAAGCTAGTGGAGAACATGCGGAATAAGCCTTTTTATTTGAAATTTCAATAAATTTTAAGCTTTTAAAATATTGCCCTATTTTTTGCCCTATTTTTTACCAATTTCGCCCTATTTTTTCCCTATTTTTGAGTGGCTGCGCCCCATTTTAGTGGTTTGGAAACGACAACCCTGGTTGGCTTTTAAAATCAACCGGGAATACATATTTACTTAAATCTACGAATTTAGAAAAAGAATTTTAAAAAATTAAAAAATATTAAGATTAGAGATAAAAAGAAAATTTTTTTCTAATTTTATGAAAATATTTTTTAAATAATTTTCCTCCCGTTTACCGCTCAATTATGGAGTTAGAGATTTCCAACATGAAAAATAATTTAAAAGTCAAATCCATTACTCTCTCAATTCTTGACACATTTGAAACCGTCACCGTTAGAAGAGGATTGTTTAAATGCAGTTAATCAAATAAAAATATTTTTTAAAT